CGGTGGATGAGAGTGAGGGGCGACATCCTGCCCCAGATAGATGAAGGTGATAGTCAGTCAGGGTGAGGGGCTGGGAGGTGGTTGTTCCCTTGCTGTTGTCTGTTTTGTTGGCAGCAGGTTTTTTGGTCATGCAACTTCGAGGAACTGGGAGCCACAGGGAAAGGAAGAGGTTAAAAGAGATTTCCCTCAGTCTTTGGACCAATCATGCTGTGAGAATATCCCAGGAGTCGCCCCTCCCTCTCGTCCACCGAAAAGAAACATTTAGGTAAGGACCAACGTTCTTTTCCTGGCGTTTGGCACTTTATCATTATATTAGCTCTCTGGGCCCAGAAAAGGCCTGGCAATGTTGAATGATTACAGTCAAACTTTTTCATCTCTTTTTAGGGAAAGTTGTGCATTTGAAGTGGATGTTAATTATATGCCTGTGACTTAATAAGTCCATTTTGGTTTCAACAAAGGGGAAAATGTAAGAATTGAAGGCTGAAAATCAGCTATTTTGTTGTTAATTTCGATGGTAGTGTCAGAGTAGTTTGGATGTTGAGGAGCGACATCTGAAGTAGTAGGTGATAATTCAATATTCCAATGGAATATTATAGAATATTTTATCTTGAAATCTTGTTTTGGAAATCTACAGAGACACAATTGTTAAAAACCAGACTTTTAATTTCTATTTCTAAATGTCATATTCTGTTTTGCTTGTCATCTTAAATGCTTATTGTAAGTTGGGTATGCAGCAAATAGACAAATAATAATGTGGGTATTTTTTTAATTATTTATTTACTATTTAGGCCAAAGTTACAGGTACCACATTAAATGGCAAGAAAGAAAAGTTACAGGCACCTGAAGGTGACAAAGATAAATGGAATTTTTTGAATTTTGCTGAAGCCTGGACCCCAAATGAAGACCGAAATGAAATCAAGAATGAGGTCTTATTCACCCATGTAAGAATGTATATATGTAAATCCTATTCAGTATCCAAGAGTAATACTATGTTTTTGATATACAAATACTTCTCATTTTGGTTTAGATCTATTATAATAACTGACTTTCACACAATATTCTATTTTCATTAATATTAGCTGTTGTAATGCTATTTTAGAATAATTAATAAAGTGAAATGTCAATAAAAATAAATACTTTCTTTTATATTAAAGTACTGTTTTATTTTCTCTTAACCCCATAGGTAATAGTTTCTATAGGATTTGCTGACCTAGACATTCAGAAGAGACAACTGACATTCCACATGTCATGATGTTGCACAAATGATGCTAATTAGATACAATATGTTATTTGTGTAATGGCATTGTGACAAGTGTGGCATTATCAGTGCTTCTAACAGATGCTTATGTCTACTGATTATAATTCTGTTTGGTCTTTGATAACTGTGTTGGGAGTTTTAGCACTTTCTGCAGAAACTTAATGGCAGATTATATCACATTAATTTGTCTTAATACTTTGGTTCAGGGTTTACTCAAATAGCCTTTTGCATATTATCTAGGGCATTAGCTTCATTATAAGATGCATTAATAATTCTTCATATAAATGTCAAATTGTGAAATCTAAAAATGATCACCAATGACAGAACAGATCTCTCTCTTCACAGCATCATTTTCCTAATAACAAAAGGCAGGTTCAGAATTAATTACACGGCTCATTATTTTTTTTAAAGTAGCCAGTAGTGTCATTTGAGTTTCAAAATTGGATCCAAATCCAAAGAAATAAACATGATTCCTATTGTTCTAACTACAGCAAAGATTAAAATAAGATAAATGTACTCATTTAAATGTACCATGTTTCTTTTGACCCCCAAAATAAGCACTTGGCCTTATTTTTGGGGAGGTCTTATTATTTTTGAGGTGTAGGAGGTGAAGAGCGTGGTCACCTCACGGCTGCTACTGAGTTATAATATTGTTGGGGAGGGCTTATTTTTGGGGGAGGGCTCATTTTAGCACATGACTTCAAAAGCCCGATTGGGCTTATTATCTGGGGAGGTCTTATTTTCAGGGAAACAGGGTAGTTAATAATACTAATGACCAGAACATCAGTATTAATAGTTCCATTTTGTGAAATTTACTTGCCAAAATATTGATAGTTCATTTTGTGATATTTGTTTAAATGTCAAAATATTAGTATTAATAGTTCATTTTGTGAAACTTATTTAAAAGTCTGGAGTAAGTAGTACTGATGAAAAACCTTACTATTTCATTTGACATCTAACATGTCAATTTAAAAAAAAAACTGCAATACTCCAACTTTAAAAAATAATAATTTGAATAATGTTGACAGAATGTTAATATTAATGAATTTCTAAATTCTAAAATATAGAATATTATTTTTTCCTTAATATGTGAAATTGCCTGTTTAAATTCAAACTACAGACTTATGATCACAATTGAGCCTGGAATTTTGGTTGTAAGTCTGGGTGGTTATAAGTCAAGTTAGCAGATGACCTAATTCAATTTTATAACCATTTTTACAACAATCATTAAGTGAATCATTTGGTTCTAAATCTAGATCCAACTTACTCAATGGGATTTTTTTTGGTGGAAAATGGCAAAAATCACAAAACATAATTGTGACTACAGTACATTGAACTGATTGTAAATACGAGTCAGTTGCTAAACATCTGAAATGCGATTACATCAGCACAGAGGTTATATAGCATTTTTAACTTTGAGAACCAATCATTACTTTTTTCAAGTTTGTTATAACTTTGAATAGTTGTTAAGTGACCAGTCATAAGTCAAGGACTGCCTATTTCTAAAACAGTGAAATTGAAATAGGAAATGGTTGATAATGATAGCAATAGGTAATGAAGGGGCAGCCTTGTGTTAAGCAAAGTAATGATTGTTGCGTCTTCCATCCTAGTTTGAAAAAGAGAAGCAACATGATATTCGTGACTTCTTTTCGCCAAAACCAGATATGGAGAAAAAGCGAAAAATTGATTCCTGTTATAATACATCTCCATCCTTGAGTTCAAATTCTTCCCAAGCCTCAGAGGAAAAAGATCTGGAAAATGGCAGAAACATAGATCCCCAGGGGCCAGAGGATCTAAATGAGATTTGCAGAGAGGCAAAGAGACTAAGACCTGTAGATCCATCTACACCTAAGCTTGTTCCTAATAGGCAGGGAAAGAGAAAATGTTTGTTTAGAAAACGAAACAATTCATTTTCGGAAGAAGCTTCCCAGGATGATGAGTGTATCCTTTTACCTGAGTCAACGGAAGGATTGGCCTCTGAAGTAACCTGGCCTTGCAGTCTTTGCACTTACAATAACAGTTCATTGCTACCTTATTGTGAAGTGTGTGAATCTCCTCGCAGAAAGAATAGTGAGTAAAAATATTTGCTGCTGTTAGAATATTTTTTCATTGTTTTAACACATCTTGTTCGTCTGTTTGTATTATACCACATATACAAAAATATCCTAATGGCTAATGCTAAAAACAGAAATTAGCAGTTGGGCTAAAAGTGTAATATTGCATAAATTAAGGATTTACAGAAATAAATGTAATTGTCCATGGTATAAATTTAATTTGTATGATATCTTATTGTAAGACATGTTAAAAGAAGCAATTTTGTTAGTCTTTATTACTGCATCTATGATATTCCTCCCTCCCCTCCCTGAGTAATATACATAGAGTCTTGAAAGAAAGTAGCAGCAGGAAAACTCAGTACAAGAATAGATCTTATTTTATCCCCTAGGATGTATGCCATGTTTGACCTCAGATACTTGAAAGGAAGTGCTGCTAGTAGGAAAAAAGTGGGACCAGAACAAAGGCTAAATTCAGTTGAATTGAACCCTAAAATAATTACATTTAATTTTAACAAAGGATTGCTAATGAGTGGCGTGGTGGCCTAGAGGTGGGACTCTAACTTCACAATCAGAAGGCTATGAGTTCAATCCTAGGTGGCAGCAGCATAATGAGAAAATATCACCATAATGAGAAAATATCTGCTGTGAACTCCATGTAGGCATCAGGAAGGGCATCTGGCCAGTAATTGCTTAACTCCATTCAGTCACCCCGATTCCACCCTGATGATTACAGGATTGTTATAAGAAAAAAAATCGCTAATATGAGTATTTTGCAAATATTCTATAATTACCCTGTCTGTGACATTTCAAAAGTTCTGTGATAATTCTAGGAGATTTTGACAGGGAGATGTATATGTAGGTATTTTCTTCATTTAGCTTATGCAATTGTTATTTATTCAAGTGTTAAATCTCAAAGCATAGGATTGCTAGTTGCTACAGAGGTAATAATAGATGTAAAGAAAGTAATTAGTCAGTCTTTACAGATATATTTACAGATATATTTACAGATATATTGATGTAATTAATAAATGGGTAGAATGGAAGGCGATTGTAAAAAGGTAGTTTACAGGTTTTTTTACCTTTTTATTTTTGTCACATTTTTCTTATACTTTTGCTTTCTATTTTTTTTTTTGTTATGCTTATAAATACTGAAGATATCAATATTAATACATTTAAAGTGTTATTCTAGTTATATTTTAAGATGGCATAATAAATAATTCTAGACAATTAATGAAATAAAATATTTTAATTTTATTATAATGGAAAACTTTTATTTAGTATTGTTATTCTTTTTCCACTCTGTCTTTATCAGCCTTTTTATTTTAAGTAGTTTTTTATTCTGTTCTTTTAATTTTTTAATAAACTATTTCAAAAATTGCTAAATGTTTAGTGACTATGCTGTTATTTTTGTACCCATAGTCACTGTGTATGAACATAAGAAAAGTAATTTTGCAGGCACATATCCTGTTCTTTAATTTGAGAATCATCTATTTAATTACTTATGGTTAACTACAATTAACTGCTACTTTTCTCTTGAGAACTAAGTAATAGACTTTATAACAGAAATGTATCCTTAGCATTTCTGTTAGCTTTTCTTTCCCAACAATATATTGTATAATTGTTATTCCTTCTTGCTTTTTAACACTCCTAGTTAGGCAAAAGGAAAGTCAAATTGGTTTTCTCTCTGCTGAAAGTAAAGATGGAAATGCAATCAAACACAACATACAACTTAATGGCATTGAGATGACAAAGGAAGAAGCAAATAAAAAATTGGACAAGCATGAACTCAAAGAAGGTAATAAATATTGCCTTCCTTCTGGCATTAATGATTACATGTACATGTAAACATGTTCATGAACATGTAAATCTAGATGTTTGAGAATTATCAACTCTTCCCACAGTGGCCAGTGTGTGTGTAACATTTGCAAAATGTTTAAGTGGTGAGAAAATTTCTATCTAGTCTAAGAGTTTGGAGCCAATTTCGAGTAGAAGTGTAGAAAGTAGGGGAATGACAGGAAGGGGGAGACTTGGTATAGTAGAAGAAGTCAAGTTGTTCAACATCGGAACACAAAACTCTACAAAGAATAATGAAGAACCAAACACTTCAAACATTATTGAATACAGTGCTTAGAAAGCCTTACAAGGTGCCTTCAGTACATTTTGGAGACGACGGGTATAGTTTGCATTCTGGAAATTTAGATGATGCAAGAAAATGTCCTATTGGAAAAATCTTATTTGACTACCAAAATTAACTTGATTAGCATAGTTGTCCCTCCTTATAACAAGATTACACTTTAAAAAATACCACAGAATATTCATCTGCTAAATTAGAAGTGAGATCCAGTTTGACTTAGTTGTTAAAGTAACTGCACTAGAAACAGAGAGACTCTTGAATTCTAGTTCTGCCTTAGGCAAGGTGTAGGTGATTTTGGGCCAGTTGCTTATCCCTCAATGCTAGGAAGAAGGCAGCAGCAAACAATTTCTGAAAATGGTACCAAGAAAAAAGCAAGAACTTGTCCATGGAGTTCAAGTCATAAAAAAAAAGAATTAATTTATACATAGCTTTAATACATACAATTGGCTTTGGACATAGCCAGATAAGGATGAAGTGCTTTGACATGCTAGTGATACATAATAATAAAAATATTATATAACATCTTAATAGATTTCCAATAATAATCTTTTGCCTCCTTAGGACATTGCCATAGAGAAAAGAAACGGGAATTAGGGCAGAGGTGTCAAACTCGCAGCTTCATGTTGTCTTAGATTACATATTGTGACTTTTTCCCCCTTCGCTAAACTGGGTGTGGGTGTGGCTGGCATGTGACACATCCAGCCACGAGTTTGCCACCCCTGATCTAGGGCTTTAAGGATCCTTGCAAATAAAAATTAGAAGCTAGGTCTGGATCTAGGTTTAAATAAATTCTATTCAATATGTATTGCAATAGACTATTATTGTTCTCTATTTTTACTGGGAATTATAAATTTGAGATAGAATTAGTTACTGTTATCCTTACTTCTTGAGTAAATGAAAAAATCCAGCATTGGCCATTAATATAAAGGTACTTTCTCAAATGTTTTTCACATATGATTTTGGTGAGAGTTAGGTCTCATTTAAGTTGTTTTAGATACAGTAGTCCTTGCTTTACAACTGTCATTGAGTCTGGAACTTTGGTTGTAAGCATTGCAATTATAGGTTGAATCACCAGGTTACTTAAATCTATCAAGTAATAACTCCTGTGCTACAACAGATTAGGTAGGATCTAAGAATGTAGTTGCTTTCTAGCAAATGTCTTGGTAAATCAGGTGGTAGGCGCTTGTGCAATGGCATGTTCATTATCATAATTGTTATAAGGAGATGAAAGTAAAATTATTTTGTAATAAAACTCATCATTTTTATTTACAGAGTATTCAAACGATTCAGAATCCATCCTAACATATCATAGTCTAATGTTCTGTGCAAGTAGGAATACTGACCGAATTCATGTCTACACAAAGGTGGGAAATTAATTTTGGATTCAAAGACGCACATGTAGAATTCTGATTGGTGCAAGAGTTTCTATTTCTTTTGCTCATGACTTTTCTATGCCATCTAAAAAACCATTATATCGGTTGTTGAATGAAACTGCATCAAAGAGGCTGAGTTTTGAGGGACATAAGTTAAAAGGGGTTGATGGAATCTGAGATGCATAAGCATACTTATTTTTTGCTGTTGGGAACACCTTTTTCTCATTTCCATCAGTTCTGTGGCTTCTCACTGAGTCATTCTCTTTTAAGATGACCATTGGATATTGCAGTATCAACTATATTACTATCCCAATTCAGCTAGTGTATAATTCCTGGAGCATTCCATGATATGACAATACAATCCACTATGAGAACTGGCTTTCCACCCATTCTTGCCTTTCCCCTCTAGATAATGTACTTTTCAACCTGAGTTAGTTGTTGCTTGGAATAGTCCTATAAGCAGCACCTTCCTATGATATTGCTAGCAGGTCCTCAGGACAACTCTGTCCTGATAAGAGATATTTTGGTCTCTTCAAAGCAGATTTTAAGCTCCATCCCTACATGACCAATTGCTCTCGGATTGCTGTTTTCTCCACAGGTACTATCTTCAAATTTCCCTAAGCCCCCATTCTGTTGTCAGTGTAATAGATCTACCTTATCATTATTTAATGTTCAGGCTGAATTTGCAAAAGGCAATAGTTAATGTCTCTTGAGAGCTTGATATAATTGGCTTCTCCATTTATTTTGTTGCCAGATGCTCAGGTCGGAAACCAACTACCTAATTTTTCTTTGTATTATTTCATTTCTATAACGACCCAGTTTCTTAAATGGTGCAGTTTCTTAATGCTGGAAGTCCAACCATCTCAGCTGGTGGAAGACCTAGTTTACAAGCTGCAAGACTTGTAAATCTTGTCCTTTGAAAGCTAATCTACAAATTTGAGCTGTGTCTAAAAGGATAGTTTTGTTATGAGTTGGCAAACAACAGTTCTGCAGATCAGTACCCATTCTACCAGAAGATTTCTAGTTTTCTTTTTTGGCCTCCAGTAGTGTGATTCAACTGGTCTAACAACTGGTTTGCTGAGTGTGTGCTTTGCACACGCAGTGGGTTAAAACAAAAACTTACCTTCTACTGCAGCTGAGGCATGCCAAAACAGCTGAGGTGTGGCAATTAGCTCTGCCACGCCTATCAGCTGGGCTAAAAAACAAGGAAATATAGGTAAGTATAGCCCGTGGGCAGGCAGGCCCACCAAAGGTCGGAGTGAACCTGTTCGCTCTCAGCTGATCTTCGATACACCCAAACCGGGCTGAACCGGTAGAACCCAACAACTGGTCAGGAAGTACATGGCTTCAGTTCACCTAGCAGAAAATCTTTTTTATGTTAGTTGCAAAGTCATGTCCGACCCATCACAACCCCATGGACAACATTCCTCCAGGCTTTCCTGTCCTCTACCATTCTCTGAAGTCCATTTAAGCCCACCCCAACTGTTTCAGTGATTCCATCCAGCCACTTCCTTTTCTGTCATTCCCTTCTTCTTTTGCTCTCAATCTTTCCCAGCATTAGGCTATTCTAGACAATCTTTAGAAAACTTTATTAAATCAGCATGTAAGTATCACACCCTTCTCCAAGTAATAAACTAGGCCATCCATGTGTGAATTACAGATTCCAACCGAAGAACCAGTTATTATCTAGACATCTATCATAGATATCTGTGTGCCCCACTTCTGATCAAATGATATTAATCTCAATTTTATTATGTCAGTCTCTGGGAAAATGAGAGGGTTTAATGTGAGCTGTGCTCAGTACAAAAAGTGGGATGCACAAGAAGTCGGTATTCTACAAGTTTCCACATTGCCTCTTACATAGAGAAGTAATGTGTACTCAGATGTAATGCATGTGACAGATGGCCACTTGACTTACATGTACAATAACTAGTTCTTCATTGAAATCATTAGCAGACTGAATAACTTCCTGATCTAAGATACTAAGGGTCTGTTATTTGATTGTCCAGGATGGAGAGCCTCTCAATTGCAATTTCATTCCACTTGATATAAAAGTAGGCAACTGGGAAGATTTACCAGCGTGTTTTCAACAAAAACAGAACCGTACACTGGTAAGTTTAGTTTCGTGATTCTTGATAAAACTACAAATAAAGCCCAAAGTATAAATTTTGACTATGTTGACCTAAATTGATATCTTAAGAGTTGCTTTTCTTTAGTGATATCTATTCCTTTTTGGGTGGGAGAAAAACACTCCATACATTCTTTGTACAAAGACTAAATTGCTTAATTTCATATGTACTCATAATACTTACTCATGCTTTTCCCTTTAGTGGTAACTGTGCAAGACCCAGAAGAAGAGGAAGAAATAATATAGAATGGAATGGAATTGGGAATGGGAATGGGAATGGAATACTTTATTTGGCCATCTGATTAGACATAAGGAACTTGTCTCCGCTGTGGAAGCTCTTGGTGTACAGGCATAGCAACAGAGTAATCATAATCATAATGTTGATACCAATAAGAGGAGTAAGCAAAGGCATATAAAAGCATACGTTAAGAAATGAAAATACCATCATTAACTTTCCACCACATTCCTATGCCAAATTGTTTTAGTGGCTTTAAATTTTTCACCTCTGTCTTTTTTTAGAAACTCATCCATTCAGCCACAACTTCTCATCCTTCTTTACCTCTTCACATTCACTCTTCCTTCCTGTATTTGTTTAATAATTCAAACCTATTTCATTATCTCTGTATGTACAAGCCACTTTGATGTATTTCTTTAGTACCGATCACTCACTTTTGCATTAGTTCCACATTTATTATCATCTGTCTCTCCTTGATTCTTGTAACCTGTTTGCATTATATTCAACATCAATGCTTTTTCTGAAATACTGACATTTTCATTTAAGAGAACAGACAGAAGCACACTCTTATACATAGCTTCTTTCTTTTTTGCTTCTTTTACTTCTTTTGACAAACATTCCCATAATAGACTATGCATTACTCATTATCTTTCTATCAGCGTAGGTATAACTTGTAAATTCCATTTCCCTATTTTTCTGATATGCTATAAAAGTACCCACATTCATTTACTTTACTACTTTAGCTTTTAGCCATTTACATATAACTTGCCATTTTTCATTCGCTTTCCCCTGTCAAACAATTTACCTTGCTCTTTGATAAACTAATGGTCAGATCTGTATACCTCAATGCTACAAGCTGTCCCATATTGTTTTGCAAAATTATTCACATTCTTAGCCAATATGACAACAATATTTATGCATACATAACTGCCTGCAGAGTTGTGTCCTCGGCCACTATCTCAAGATTTCCTTATAATTAATTAATCAATCAATCAATTAACTAATTAATTAATTAATCAAACACCAAACATCCTATGTCTTACTTCATGCTTGACGTTGAACCATTTGCTGAGGTTCTTCCTTTTTGTCACACATCCTTTACTACGCAATTGCATTGATTTAATTGATGTAATTAACTGTTTGGCATTTTGAATCTGACAGAGCATACAAAAACTTACAAATATTTGTTTCTGAAAACCCAAATGAGGCTATAGTAGATTCCCCCCCCCCTTCATATTGCAAGAACATCTGAAAATACCAAAGTGTTGATTGCTGCAGTCATCAGCTGCTCCTGTATTACAAAGCAGAATATAAAATAATAGGTGCCAATTAATATTTTATGACCAAATGTATGTATGTACAAGAACGATAAAGACTTTTCTACTTTCAGAGGTGTCAAAGACACACTAGGAATATACAGGAGCCTTTTTGCTAAATGCAAACACTAACATTTGTACAGTGCATACCAGGCTCACAGCCTTATAATGGAAGATCATTTCTAGTTGAAGAGACTGAGGCTGAGAAAATGGTTTGGTTAAGGTAACCTACTGTAATAAAAGTTTGAGAAAGACAGAATTTGAGCAGAGCAATTCTTGTCACCTAGTATCGACCCCACTGGGCTATATATCTCTCCAAGATTGAATGGATGTATACATTTGCTAACCTCTAGAACGATCAAGGCAGGATATTTATGGCTGCCCAATTGTTGACAAGCATAACTCTTAGCATGCTGATTGAAATGAACGGGAAAAGAAATTTATCAAGAGAATTTAAGTTCCATCACCAAGTCCTTTTTGAAGCTACACTAATGCTCACCCGCATTCTGATCTATAGAGATTGGATGTTTCTGAGTTCTCCTCTGCTTCTGGGGTTCCCTATCCCATCAATACTGAGGCTGATGCTATATTACGAAATGCTTCATTTATTTTTGAAATGGTTTAATGTTTATACAGGTAAATGACATAAAGAGCATGTCATTAATTGAAATGATTTTAAAGTCTACTGTTATCTATTGGGTGTACGTTTCAAAATAAAATCTTCACAGTTTTAACGAATAATTATTAGGAATAACAATTCTTTTCTAGATACTGAGGTTTGTGAGAGAATGGAATACTCTGACAGCCATGAGACAGAGAATTATCAGAAAAAGTGGCCAGATTTTTTCTAATCCTGTTCTCGCTGCTGAAGAAATACTGTCTAAACAACAAGCCAAACTCACCAGTACCAAACGGTGTGTGTGCTGCTAGCCTCTTCTCAACTCTGGTCTAAGTATTATATCTCAAGCTGTTATATTGTACTTTTGTCACGATGATGCTAAATGGTGACAATCTTTCTTCTTTTTTAAATGTCTTTGTATCCCAAATGCTTTTTGAATTGTTGAGAATAAAAATCAACAGAGTGCTTTTCCCAACAATATTTCGGAAGGTTTCCTTCACAAGGTTTGCATTTCCCAATTGCTCCACTTGACATTTTTGATAGTCTCATCACCAATTCTGGTCTTGCTGCAAAAAGTCAAACTGGACAGTGAAATGCTACTAGGAGAATGGGTGGATGGATTATGTTTGCCATTTTGGGGTGAAATATCATCAATATGCAGGTGATACCCAGCTTTAGAACTTTTGCCCAGGCCCTTGAGTGATGCTACAGACATCCTATCCTAATATCTGGAGGACCAGATGGGGCAGAATGGGCTCTGATTCCACCCTACTAAGACAGAATGGCTATGGATATTTGAACCCTCTGAAAAAAAGGTTCTTCCATCTCTACCCCAAAACACTAGGCACACAGTCTGGGGTCCTCCTAAACTCACAGCTTCTGCTCGAATTGCAACCATGGTTAGGAGGGCCTTTACACATCTTTGGGTGGTGCGCCAGTTGCATCTATACTCAACCGGGAGACACTGCTCAGAGTAACTCACGGCCTTGTGACCTCTCCTTTAGACTATTTTAATATGCTTTATGTGGAACTGCCTCCGAAAAGCATTTGGACATTTTAACTGATGCCCAATGTGGCTGTGCGGGTGGTAAATGGTGCCAGATATGCAGCACACATAGCAGCACTTTTGCGTGAGATGCATTGGTTATTGGTGTGTTTCCAGGTGCAATTCATGGTTCTGGTTGTCAGCTTTAAATTCCTACAATGACTTGCGATCAGATTACCTGAGGGATTGCCTTTTTTCCAAGAGTCTCTACTCATCCAACCCAATCTAGCAGAATGGGCCTGCTGCACATCTCATCAGCAAACAAGTGTTGGCTAGCAGAAACAATACAATTAGCCTTTTTCTGCAGGGGCTCCAACTCTGTGGAGATTAGAATCACCCCAACCCTGTTAGCCTTTTGTAAAACCTTAAAAACTGGGCTCCCAAACCTGGGTATTGATTGGGTCCTGTTTCTTGACTGTATTGCTAACTCGCCAAATATCTTTGCCTGACATGTATATTTATTTTGGACATTTTTACTATTTTTATAGTTTTAAAATGTTTTTAATGTCTTAATTATATTACATTTTTTGAACTGTAAGCTGTCGATTCATTGACTTGAGATGGGCAGCTATAGAAATTGAATAAATAAAAAATCTTAACTAAATAGGGGAAAAAAAGTTTGTAAACCTATTCCTGGCCCTAAAATAGGACTTTAAAATCACATTCTTGATCCCACAGATTCCACTTGGACTGCTGTTAATAACCAAATAGCAGATTATCACTCAATATATTTGCACAGTACAGATGTAACTTTTTCACTACATATTATGATGACGAGCTTGTGTGAAGCAAATGTTCTACAAATATATCATTTCTTTTTCCAGATTTGAGTGCTAAAACATAATTGTGAATAGAACATAAATAGAACAAGCTAAAATAAAGTTTAGCGAAATTAAAAATGCTGAATACATAATCACTCTTAAGACATAACAATCAGAAATTCCTGATAATGTATTTTTTGGGTTTTTTAAAATAGCAATAGCAATAGCAGTTAGACTTATATACCGCTTCATAGGGCTTTCAGCCCTCTCTAAGCGGTTTACAGAGTCAGCATATTGCCCCCAACAATCCGGGTCCTCATTTTACCCACCTCGGAAGGATGGAAGGCTGAGTCAACCTTGAGCCGGTGAGATTTGAACAGCCGAACTGCAGAACTGCAGTCAGCTGAAGTAGCCTGCAGTGCTGCATTTAACCACTGCGCCACCTCGGCTCTTAACCTTGTTTATAACTCAGAATTGAGTAAAAAGTAATGGGGATATAGTTATAAACCTTCAAAATATTAGCAAAGCTTTCTAGCAAGAATAAAATGAAAAAATAAGTCTGTCCCCCAGCTAGGCTGCTGAAATAAAACTTGTAAGTAAATAGATTATTTCTGAATGTTGAGAATTTGTGGAATCCATAGTCATATACTAGAAACTAATTTTCTGGCTACCACGCATACAGGCAAAAACCTTGTTTTGAAATTCAGTATCTGTATGTTTGACCACTGCTTAATACATAGTTCCTTCCCAATAGACTATTTTGCAAATCTTGTGAGAAAAAGTTGGATCCAGAAACTAAAATCTGTTTCCTTGCGAGACATTCTTACTTAACATTAACATTTTAGAAGTAATGATCGGTAATCAATGCTGCAGTTTGCTCTTGGCAGAGAGGGATCACCTTGTGGGGGCCATCTGTTCGAAAATTCTGCATCTCAGTTTTTAGCCTTTGCTCAAAGTTAAGAACAGTGTTTAATATTTTAGGTACATGACAAAAGAAGACATTGCCAGAGCTTCGCTAACAAAAGCTGACAGCAGTGGAGGTAGCGTTCGCATAATCACAAAAACATCCAGAGAAGTTATGAGAGCCCATGGATCCTCTGTTGGAAAAGAAGATAACCATTTTATAAAGTAAGTTTAGTTGTGCTCGGGAAAAGAAAAAAGTGTGACATTCTAATAAAGTGCTTTTACTTTTCTGTTCAATTGTGTCCAGTTCTCAGAGATTGCCTGGACAGGTCCTTGCAGTTTTCTTGCCTAGGTTTTTCAGAAGTGGTTTGCCACTGCCTCCTTCTGACAGAAAGTGACTGGCCCAAAATCATCCATCTGGCTTTGTGCCTAAAGCAGAACTAAAATTCAGAGTCTCCCAGTTTTAGTCTGATGCCTTAATCCTTGCACCAAATTGGCTCTGTAATAAAGCAGTTAGACTTGGATAATTGAATATTTTCAGAGAATTCATGCCCAGCAACTTGTGGTGCGTTTTGGAGCCCTCATCTGATAAAAGTGAAGTACTAGCACACTGCATTTTTTTAACAGCAATGTTATCGGTTGGAAAATGCCTTGCTAAGAAAATGCCTTCCTAACTTTCCTAATGTCTGTTATATTTTCAGCACATGATGAAAATGTTTCTGATATCTCTAGTATTTAAACTTTAATAGACGTTTTTGATTCTGGTATTCAGTCTGCAGTTGACAACAACATTGGATATGTTATCTCTTTTGGTTTAAAAAAAACCTAGCCAAATGGCTTGGGCAATTTCTCTTTACAAATTAGAATAACAGTTGCTGTGTTCTTTGGTAACAAATTCATCAGCTATCATAACCTTTCTCTTTCTGACTTCTTTGTACCGGAAAACATTTTTTATTTGTATGTTTTTATTGTCTTTTCTATTCAGATGATCCTTTGTTGATTTTCTGCAAGAACCTTAAAATCACTTCTTAGTTTGACCTAAGCTAAAATTGAAGTCTTTTTGTACAGCGAATTTAACTTAGATTCAAAAGAATCTGACAGGAAACCAGTACTGTGTTAGAAAATGTGTGTAAAATAAGGCTTTATTTAGAGTTATTTGAGTGAATCATTCCTTGCTATACTGTGATAAGCTTTGTACAGCATAAATATGCAACATTTTAAACGATGAGGGCTACGCTTGATTTTTAAGTGGCATGTTAGGAACCAGTGGTGGGTTCCTACCAGTTCAGACTGGTTTGGTCGAACCGGTAGTGGTTTAGTGGCCTGGGTCGCTGAAACCGGCAACGAGCCAGGCCTCTCACACACCCCAAACCGGTCCTCTGGGCAGCGCCATAGGTGCCACCATCTTGTTTTTTGCTTCTGCGCATGCGCAGAACAATTTTTATTGCATTGCTCAAACATGCACGCACAGCGTACCCAGAAGCAAATCAGCAGTAGTTACTGCCAAAATCCACCTGTTAAGAACTCGATGAATATAAGCAAAGTCAAAGAATGAATATATTCTAGTCCAAATAAAATATGCTTAGATTTAATTAAATAGGGGTACTTGTATTTAATAATTTCTGTTCTCTCATTTCACAATAAGAAATACATTATGGCAGGAAGTCTGAGGATTTTTCCAAATGCAGCCCACATAATATGTGGATCAATGTCTATTTCTAGATTTTATAACTTGCTTGGGACCATAGGTTATTCAGTAATGGTGATGATGTTATCCGTTCAGTTGAATCAGACTCTTGGCAGTTCTGTGAGCCAGCTCTCTCCACATCTTCTGATTTTGCACTATTTCTTTGAGTGGCTCTATGCCCCGCCAGCTTTGATGCTGTCCAGCCACTGTGTTCTTTGGCAGCCTGGTTTTCTTTTGCCACTAACTCTTCCAAACGTAATTGCTTTCTCCAGTGAATGGTACATAATTGAAATAGGTTGGCACAAATATTTCAATCCTGTGAGGTTGCAATTTAACCAATGCTTTCAGTCTTTTGGGGGTGGGGGGATAATGCTAGGATCAGAATGGAAGATGTCTGGGAGGTAAATGTCAGTTGAATTGCATTTCTCAAAGTCCTGTGGGATGAATCACTGATAGGTTATTCTCACGTCCAATCTGCCCAGAAACTGAGGTTAAAGTTGAGGCCGCTCCCCTCTACTTCCTTTGCATGGCTCCAGTTTAATCAAAGGCCAGTGCTCCAAAGAAAAACCTGGGAAGGAAGGGCATAGGAAAGTCAACACCCCAACCCCAGGACCCTGACTGACCCAACAGCCACTAAAACCTGGCTCAAGACCCTTCATGCCAACAAGACACTCTAACTAGGGTGGGAAGTGATTCATCCCACAGAATTTCGAGAAATGCAATTCAGGTAAGACCAACTGACATTCTCCGAAGTAGCCTGTGGGAGGAGTCATTGATTGGACATACCAAAGCTTGATGTCCATGGGAGGGAATCAATGGGCCTGAGCCTCTTGAGTGTCTTGCACTCCCTGCAGTACCCTCCTACCGAAGGAAGCCTCAGTAAAGTGTAAGCGTCCAGCCGGTAGTGCCTGATGAAAGGCAAGGGCGAAGCCCTGGTGGTTGCCGTACAAATATCCTCGATAGACACCTGAGTCAACCAGGCCGCAGACGTGGCCACACTCCTAGTGGAGTGTGCCATGATGCCAGCTGGCACCAGAGGCCTGCATGCTGCATATGCCATAGTGATGGCCAACCTAATCCACCTACCGATAGTAGCTGGTGACACTCTTGCCCCTAGGGTAGAGGGCTGGAAAGAGATGAAGATTGCCTCCGACCCCCTTCTCACATCCAGGTAATGCCAGGACTATTCCCACTCCCTGGAAGGCACAGGACAAAAGTCTGGGAGAATCACCTCCTGAGTCCTATGGAAGGGAGAGTTAATTTTAGGCAAGAATGAAGGGTCAAGCCTAAGAACAACCCTGTTGTCGTGAAATGTGCACAGGTCAGCCCTAGATGACAGAGCTCTGAGCTCAGAAATGTGCCTGGTGGGACTTCCGGTTAGGCGGGGCCTGAGGGTGTTGTTTTTAACAGCTCCGGATCCTTGGCTGCGTTAAGCTGTCTAAACAGTATCCATCAACTGTTTGACAGTTTGATTACCTCTTATCCGGGCTAAGGAAGAGGAGGCGAGCAAGCTATGTTTGGGCAGCGCTCCAATTAACCCCCCCAGAACATAAATCTGGGGTGGGAAGAGAGAGCCACCCGGTAACATAGTGGTTTCTCCGCGTCAAGGACCTCTTCTGCCTCTTTTGCAGAACGAAGGCACACGTCCACCCTCAGCTCAAAGATTGATTTATTACTGATTTCAAAGCAGGCAGAACTGATACTGGTGAACTTCTAATTGTATGTATAAGTCTTTAACTCCATTTTTTAAAATAATTCCTTCTGACAATTTACTTGCTAGAAATACACAGAAAATGGCGCTGAGCAGCTCTGTAGGAAGGTCAGGCTCTGACGACATAGATTTCTACGGAGCTCAGAACATTTAAAGATCACTAAAACAGAAGTGATTTATTACCAAACTAAATAGTAATTGCTGGATAAGCGGCTTG